TTATTAAGCCTGTATTAGGGAATATTTGTAATATAAGGTCATATAACAATTTATGCCTTAGTCGATTTTACTTTCTCTACCATCCAAAGGAATTGCTTACGAATATAAGCAGAATAAAGTCCAGCAATTCAATTCGATGCAGTCTGCAGACCCCAATAAACCAACTCGGTAAATTAATGTAAAGTAAACTAAAATTTCCTAAGGTTTTTTGCACTGCACTTATGTTAAAAGTTTTCAAATTTATTTATTATACATCTTATAAAATGTTCCCAATGGTAATACCTAATTTACCTAATTTACCCTACTCGAAATTCTGGTAAATACCAACATTCGCTGCCATACGGACATAATTTATCATTTTCCTCAATTTACCATCAATTACTGAACCGCACACGTCAATTACATACAATTACTTATTGATAATACAAATACAACATTACTGTATATTCCTGTAAAAAAAAAAAATCGAAATTGGTTGCATGCTTCAATTTCCCAAAATAAGATCAAAAAATATCAACTTCAATGTTATAAATGTATGTTATAAATACAGGTGTCAAGAAAGTGTTGACAAAGCACAAAATTGTATTGTTGTTATTCCGAAAATATTAGTTATATTTTAATCGATCTTTTTTTTACACATTATGCTTACGCAACATATTTAATCTTAAAATAAGACAAAAAACTTATTCATTTAATGTTACAACAACAATAAAAATAACGAAAATAAAAAAAACTTAAAAATACTAGTGTCAAGAAAGTGTTTTTACATTATTTATTTCTTCCTAATTCGAACTAAGAAATGCATTTACCGTTATTCAAATGATGCTGACGTATGTTTAATGCATTTATTTGTTTAAATAGCAATTAAAAATAATAATTTAGTTGCGTCTAATCTTCGTGGGTGGTAGGTAAAGTGTGCTTATTGAAATTATTAAGATGCCAGGTAAAAGAGTTTCGTTTAATATAGTACAGTTGGTGTATTACAACTATTATGATGGAAAAACCATCAGTGAGCTATCCGAAATGTTTTGTTTAAGTCGACAAACCATTTATAATATCATAAAACGTGCAGAAGATGAAGGAAGATTGCAACCAAATGAAGTAACTGGCCGTCCTCGAAAGTTATCAGATCGAAATATTCGATCTTTATTAACAAAAGTAGATGAAAATCCACGACTTTCGATCAGAACCCTTGCGCATGAACTTAAGGAAGAAAGTGGTGTTACTGTTTCTCATGAAACAATGCGGCAAGTTCTAAAAAAAAATGATTATACATCAAGAGTTGCACGTAAAAAACGACTGCTATCGACAGAAAATATTAAAAAACGCTTGTCTTTCTCAATATTGCATATAAGTAAGCCAAATGATTATTGGGATGACGTCATATTTTGTGACGAAACTAAAATGATGCTATATTATAATGATGGACCTAGTAGAGTATGGAGAAAGCCATTAAAAGCGCTGGAAAACAGAAATATAGTTCCTACTGTAAAATTTGGCAAACTTTCAATTATGATTTGGGGATGTATTTCCACCAAGGGCGTTGGAGATCTTGTATTTATTGAAAATACAATGGATGCAAAAGGATATTTAAATATATTGCGCAATCATTTAATCAGCAGCGCAAATAAATTTGGCTTCATTCAAGGCAATAAGCCAAAGTTTAAATTTTATCAAGACAATGATCCCAAACATAAGGCGCATATGGTGAAGATGTGGCTACTATTTAACTGCAACAAAGTCATCGATACGTCTGCTCAGAGCCCAGATCTAAACCCCATTGAAAATTTGTGGGCTTATTTAAAAAAAAAGTAGCTAAACAACACCCAAAAACTCTATCACAGCTAAAGGCAGCTATTTTACAGGAGTGGTCTAAAATACCCATTAATTATGATGTGCCCAAGCTGATAAATTCAATGAATAGAAGACTGCAAGCCGTAATGGACTCAAAAGGAGGTCCAACAAAATATTAATTTATATAAATATACTTATTTAATATCACTGTAAAGTGAAAACAACCGTTTATTTCATTTGTAAAAACACTTTCTTGACACTAGTATTTTTAAGTTTTTTTTATTTTCGTTATTTTTATTGTTGTTGTAACATTAAATGAATAAGTTTTTTGTCTTATTTTAAGATTAAATATGTTGCGTAAGTATAATGTGTAAAAAAAAGATCGAAATAAAAAATAATAACTAATATTTTCGGAAATAAAAACAAAAAATACAAATTTTTTGCTTTGTCAAAACACTTTCTTGACGAACTGTATACATATATTTATACACATACATATATATGTAGGTCAGTAAACTTCCAAACAAGTAGGGATGTTTCTCATATTTGCATTATAAAGTGATATTAAATGCATGAAATTTTTACGTGCTGTTTGCTACTGCCAAGCATTAATTGCAAAAACAAATAATTACACCAAAAACTAATTTGACTCTTTTCTTCGTAAACAAGCAAATCTGTTTTTTGTTTTCATTTTTGTCCTTCATTCATCAATAGTAAAATTTTTAGAAAGAACAAGCACAAGCGCGGCCGATCTAGCAGCAGCGCAGAAAGAAGTAAAATCTTCACTCCGCCCTCCCGTGCCTGTTGCTGAAAATTTAAAAATTGAGTCATTGTGACTCTATAATATTCTTACTCAATGCCTGAGGTCAGTTATTACTTAGTTATAAAACAAATTTAAAATTAAAGTCAAAAAATAAATTGTTATATAAAACTAATTTAAGTATTTAAGTAAATAAAATAAACCGTCAAAAGAGGTAAGTATTTTTTAAAACATTTCTCTTTTTATCAATGAATTATATAATTGATACATAAAAATATCAAAATAAGTTTATATATAAAATATATATTTATATATGTCATATATTATTTAACAAAAAATATTCATTTCAGTTGAATATCAGGACAGAGAATGGATGAAGTTTGTATGGTGCATTTATGATGTTTGTAAATCAATTAAATAAAATATTATTATTAGGAAAAAACAAAAGAATTGAAAATATGTGGACTAAGGGCAGTAAGCAGGCTTCGTTAGATCAGTTAACTTACTTAATATTGCATGAATTACTTGAATCTCAAGTAAATTTACTATTCTAACGACCTATACTATAAGTGACGAGGCACAGATAGCTTCAGCTCTCATGACCCAATATAAGTGACGAGGCACAGATAGCCTCGGCCCTCATAACCCAATTTGAACCGACATATTGTTTTTTCTCTCACTCTCAATTTTACAATTTACATTGATTTTGACGAGCCCATGGCCCTAAAGAAAGTTATTAAGGACGTGTGCCAGTTAGGCTAAGTTGATGCCAAACTAAATGGGACTTTTCTTGGGATTTTTTGCACTGCACACATTGAGCCATTTATCAATATGTATCGATACATCATTATATTATCGGCACTACTTAGAATTTCCCTCATTTAGAATGCAACTTATCCTAACTTGCACACGTCCTAAATTTAAATTAAAAATTTTTAAAATAAAGAAAAAAATTTATTGTTATTTATTTACTTAATTTTATTTTTGTAATTATCACTAATTGAAGTTCGCTTATTGTAAAGTGTAAACAAAGTATTAAACAAAAAATTTTTGTTAGCATTTATACCTTCGTTAACATCTACCATAGCAGGTTCCCACAGAAGTATAAAAGTATGAACAGCTGATTTTGTTTCTATTTGATTCACTGTCAAAACATACATATATAAAAGCGTTGTTTGCTTTTGTTGTTTTTTTTAATTTCCATTTATCAATAGTTCGTTATGAACACATCTCTATTGATGCCTTAGTTAGCTTGTCTCATAGTAAAGTTTAATAAAAAAAATGGACTTACTTGACAGTGAATTTAAATTTACGAATTTAAATAGACTTACTTAATGTTAAATTCGTAATTCGCAATAATTCAATTGTATAGCGAAATTTTGAATAATTTATCTATAGGCGTATTCGATGGCTAACAAGTATGGCAAAAAACAGCAAATTGCTGGCCTATGCAGGCTTATACTGGCCGCAATGTACGCAAAACAACAACATTATTTCCTCTACCTCGGCCAACGCAATAAGCGAACTATTGTGAACCTTCATTGAAAATTCCAACGAATAGTGCAATCAAATGTCAAAAATTGAGGAAATAAAAATTCAAACAGAATTCAAAAATTTGAAAAATATTGAAAAGTAACGAAGAAATAATGGAGAAATCGTAAGCATTAAGCACATTGAATTTTTTATTATGTTAGTTATTACCAAGTAACATTTATTTTATTTCATTTAATTTGTAATTTACATACGTAAAATTAATTAAACAAACATAATTTTTGAAACTATGGACCACAAAGGAAACGAAGTGTTTTCTAGAGTGCATTCATAACATTTAAAAAATCCGTGAAACAACTTGCATCCCTCGGCCGCTGCAAAACGTTGCTTTCTTCTCCCAACATTGACAGTACCTACAAAAATTTACTTATCTTAGTGTTTTATTTTTAAATTTTCAATATTCTTACCATTCCTTTTAATTCCGTGTTCATTTTAATTTTATAATATTTTTATAAAAATATATTTGATTTACATGCACATATACAAGATTTGCTGTTTGTGAAAACAAAACATTTGACAGATTGCAACAGTGATGACAATGCCTCGCGTGGCCAACATAGGCCAACATGCATTTTTTGCCGTACTTGCGAGCCACCGAAAAGGCCTACTGTCTCGCGTAGCAAATATAGGCCAGCATGCACTTTTTGCCACATTTGCGAGCTACCGAAAACGCCTATTATTATCGAGAAAAGATTAAAAAATGAGACATGCAGATATTTGTTATATTTATGGTACTTATGATTGCTATGATTAAAGTTTATTCCAGTTTCTAAAGATTTATATACAAAAATGATAAAAAATAAAAAAAGTCTGAGAAAATAAAACTCCACAATTTTAATAAAATTTTATATAAAATTTGAAGAACTATTTGCTATTGTGAATGGAGACTCTTCAAAAGAGGAAGCACAGAAAGTATGCATTTAAAAATTGTGTTGTTATCTGTTTTAGATGTTTGCGCTGATTAATAGCATCTTTTTAACAAACAAATAAAAGTTAATAGTTTTTGTTAATGTGTACTGAATTCTGTTGAGAAAAATGGATAAAATATCGCATATTAAAAGAGATGAGATTCGATTTAAGCACGATCTAGAAGTGAATAAAATGACTTCACGGGAGTTTTATCAAGACCCAAGAGCTCGTGTAGATTATCAACAGTATATCCTAAGAGATACTGAATATTTTAATCTTTTCAAGCTAGCTATTCTTTATAACAAACACCTGTTTGTAAATCGCACAGTACTAAATTTGAACTGTGAATTAGGTTTACTGGCATTGTTCGCTGCAAAAGCCGGTGCGAAAACTGTTTATGCCATTGACGATTCTAAAGTAGTGGATTACACCCGTCAAGTTGTTGCGAGCAATGGCTTTGAGCATATAATAAATGTAATAGAAGGTAACATACGAACGATTAAGTTGCCTACAAAAGTGGATATAATAATTGCCGACTGGTTGGGTTATACGCTTTTGTTTGAGTCAACTTGTGCTGATGTTATATATGCTCGCGATCACTGGCTGAAAGATTCTGGAATTATTTTCCCTGATATTGCCAGAATGTTTTTGCTATTAGGACAAAATACTGAAAATAGAAATGCTTATACTGAATGGTGGCATAATGTACATGGTTTTAATATGAAAGCACTACGACAATCTGTGACAAAAACACCCAAGTTTCAATATGTGGGAAAAGAAAATGTAAGATACTATCCTTTTTTAAATAGTTACATATATATAATGTTTTTTTTTGTTAGCTTCTTACTGATCGTTATGAGATATACGACCTAGATATGAACACTGCTACGATAGCTGACTTAAAAGTTCGTTCGCAATTTATATTTAATATAAAGAGAAGTTGTACAATTGATGTCGCTATAACATATTTTGAAGCAAAGTTCTCAAAATCGCACATACCAGTATATATACGCACAAATCCTTCTTGTAAGAGATCGACCCGATTTAAGCAAGGTATTTTTTACTTCAATAAACCGGTGAATGTTGAAGCGTCTAGTCTACTTTATGGCGGTATCGAAATGTGCCCTGCACAGTTTAATACAGACTTTAAATGTATCGATATCAATTTTGAACTGTACGCGGGTAATCCAGGAAATTCTAATTTACTGACTGAAATGCATTGGAGACTGCCCTCATATTTTGTTGAACGTAAAACAAAACCAAGGATAAATGTTGTGAATAACAAGCAGACAATAGTAGAAAAAGTTGAAATCGTCGATCAACTTGTGAAAGATGAAAAAGATGAGAATAAAGATATTAATGGCAATAAAACTGAAGAGCACGTAAAAAAAGTCAATGAAGATGCGAAATGTAATAAAGATGTTGAAGATTTTAACAAGCACTCCAAGACTAAAAAAAACCGCAAGAAGAAGTATAAAAAAATTATTTAGAACTTGTTCGACCATAACAATATCATTTCATACATATTTGTGTTATAGTAATTAAAAAAAACACAAAATATTAAATAAGTTAATTATTATAATTTACTAGAAAACTTATATGTCAGAAATTTGTAATTTATTATAAATATTATTGGTTATTATTACATAATAAGTTTATTTAAAGAAATTGTGTAAAGCAACTAATTTTAAAATATTTATAGTATGTACTTGGTTACAAAATAATTAATATAAATGCCTTTTAAAATCAAACATTGTATATTCTTATATGAATGTTTCTTGAAATAATTATTAAACTAATTCTAAAAATGAAATTATAATTAATTTTGTAAAATAAAAAAAAGAACTTTGTTTTTGTTGAATAATATATATTCAAGTCAACTTAAATGTTAAAAAAACTGTGTATACGCTTATCTTAATAAATTGAAATATAAGAATATACATTAACATATAAGAAGAAATGCATAAGAATATATAAGAAGAAATATATAAGAAGGAATATATAAGAAGAAATATATAAGAATATATAAGAAGAAATATATAAGAATATATATGAAGAAATATGTGAAGAAATATATGACAATATATATAAATATATAATAAGAAATATTTGAATATTTTATATAAATATATATAAAATATAAGAAATAAATTGGGCTATAATTTAAAACGTCAAAGAAAATAATATATTATTTATGTTGTTAAAAGCTTGTGTAATCTTAACTAACTGCTAGTTATTTTCTTATTTTTATTTTATATAGTTATTTTTTAATAAATGTCGTCAACGTTTGAGACATTATCTGATTTGTTCCTTAGATCGGGGTATTATCACAAACTTTGAGAAAATAAGCTAAAAAAACTTTAAAAAGTCGGTGACATTTTTAAAGAAAAAAAACTATTTAAAATAAAAATTAAAAAACTAATAGTTTTTTTTATTAGTTTCTGGCTTTCAACAAAAATAAAAAATAAAATCTTCAAATAAGTGGACACGTCACTATTCCAATTGAAAATGATCAATTATTGATATTATATTTTATAACAATACCTTGGACGTTACTTTTTTATGGACTGATGAGTATTATTAGTAGTGTTATATCCCTAGATTTAAGATGTCTCCTACTAGCAGGAATAATGGTAGTAAATGGCTAGAACGTTCGGATTACCTATTGAAGTCATTTATCGTCGACAACCAAAAGTCTAGCAAATGTCCTGTTACAGTCTTACTTTTTAAATATAAAATAAGTTAAACCAGGTTCCTTAAGCAATTGGCTATGAGATGCAGCACATATCTTCTACGCCTATTAATTAAATATGTAAGCTCATATATGCAATTTTTCCATATTGTTCTAGAAATAGAATATATCATACATTATAAATAAGAGAATCTTTTAACAATGGAGATATTCACTGATAGGCGCAATTATTTATTTTTGATGAACGCACTCAAAAATGCAAGAGCAGCTACTCACAAAGAATATAAGATTTACTCAACGATTGTTCAGTTATGAATATATTAATGAAAACATACAATCCATTGAAATAGAGTATAAAGTAAACTTTTTTACCATAATAATAGATACTATCATAATTGATACCGACTGTCGTTTCAAAGCACTTAATCGATATTTTGAAGAATTGGGTTTCATATATGAAGTTAATCATATGAAAAGTATACCAAAGGAAGAACCTCTCAAGCATTATATTGCTTTAGGTATAAACCTTCATCTTCGGGAAGCTAAGAACACTGACATTCAGCCTTTTGAACTGTATGAGGAACTGCTGTTTTTAAAAACGAACTCACTACACTGAAACAACAGTAGAAAAGCAACTCAATCCGGTATATTAAAGAAAAGAATTTAAATGAAGTATTTCTGAATGTTTATATAGTAACCAGAAATATACTCACAGTTCCAGTCATTACAGCTTCTGCTGAAAAAAGCTTTTCAAAGTTAAAATTGTTTAAGACCTGTTAGAGAAGTACGATGAGCCAAGAGACACTATCTGCATAGGCAATTCTATCAATTAAAGCAAAAATAGCGAATGGTTCAAAATGATATAATTTCAAAAAATTCAATCAGACTAATAGAATGAAAATTCATTTATTTTAATTAGTGTTTATTTTAATTTGATTAGCAATAAAACTTTTATACATTCTTCGTCGTATTAGTAATATTATATATATATATTCGCATATATTCACATTTATATATTGATATTTATTTATAGCTCGGTAATGAATGGGGGCTCACAATTCTTATGTCGCCGGCGTCCAGTTTTGATCTAGCTCCACGACTGATACTCACTAATATTACCGTTCTCCTTCTGCTCTATTGATTTATGTAGTCACTTGTAAATTTGTGCTTGATTATGAGTATTGATGGTCTTAGATCCACTATGTTATCTATATGTCTTACAATCGTTTAATTAGTTCTCTTATTATTTCTTCTGTTATCATAATTAATACTTAACAAAAAAATCTGAAAAGAAAAAGATGAAATTAAATTATATTACAAAAGAATTTTTCTTTCAGTGTATTAGACATCACTGTTTAGGCTTATAAACAAATCGAAGAGCTCAAATGCATAGTCCATGCTATTGGATTTTCGGCTACAGCTCCCGCATATTAATTACTTATTTAACGATTGTGCTTAGTTGCATATAAAACTTATTGTTTTTTGCTTTGGTTTTATAATTCATTGAGACTGCCGGTTAGTAAGATTTTGGCCAACAGAGGCAGCAGTACTAAAAAGTTCTTTAAAACCAAGTTTTAGTAAAAACAAAAACTCTTTCTGAGCGAAGATTTAGTAGAAATACGTGGAAAAAAAATGTCGTGGTCTTTTCGTAATAAAATTTTTGCAGTGTATGCTATAGCTGTGATCAACGTAAGTGTTAAATTATACAAAATAAATAAAAAATATATATGATTATATTTATGAATTTACACTCGTAAATTAATAACTTTGTGAATAATAATTTTATTTTGTAAATTATTACCAATAATTAAAATTAATATAATTGTGTTGAGTGCTAAAATGTTATGAATTATTTTAATTAATGTCCTTGTGAATTCGATGTGATGGCCTTTGATTTAATATATGGAATGTAGACGACGCAACAATTTACGGTAGCGGATTTTGATGACCATTATATTGACAATATTGATAATAATAATTTTATTTTATCATTCAAAAGAATAATTATCTCAAAAATTCTTTTGAGAATATTAATTTGTCACTTAATAAAAAAATGAACCCTGATTAATATTTGAAATGGAAGAACTTTAACGAATTACTATATGATTATAAAAATCCTGTCTCTACTTACAATTATAAAAAGTCTCATTAGTGCAAATTTGTATGGATTTTGTATGAAAAATGAAACGTACTATGAAATTCATTTGTGTATTTATAAAAAAAAATTTATTCTCACTTCCGTTGATAATTCAATAAAAGAATTCAGAATTACACACATAATTATAATTAAAGCTAAATAAGTGATAAATCGATGAACATTTCCATAATAATTTTCAAATATTTTTAATGGTTTCAAAATACAAATATTTTTTAGTCAAAATCAATAAAAATTAAGAATTCAATTATAAATTAATTTCCTCATTGAGTTTATTTATTTTACTCAAAATACCTAATATATGTTTTTTGGCTTAGTACTGAAATTTTTTTTAAAAATAAAAAATAATATATAATTCAATTTAAACAGATTTTTAGTTTTACCATCCCGGGTCAAGAAATGTAAAATTTTTACAAAAATGGAAAGATAACCTGATTATCCGACGTAGTTGAGGAGTGTGACTTTATTTACTAATAAACTGTTTTTGTTGAAAGAAGAAGGAAGAATAAATCTTAGCACTCTGTTAGAGATATTTTGTTTGCAAACATATGTATATCTTTAGGTTTTACATTCGAAAAAATATTTTTATATATGGAAATAATAAAGAGAATATTAATAATAAAGAGAAGCAGAATAGTTTTAGCTGAACAACCACTGCAATTAGTCATGGACCACATACAGAAAATTCAGATGATTCCCAGCAGTATAGCAATAACCAACCTCTGTTTAATTATTAAATCCTAATATATATTACAGAAGTATTACACAAAAACTAAGGCATGAAATTTACTAAATTATAAAATTGTATATTTTTTTCTGTCTTTGTTCTTCTATTACATTTTTATGGATTTATCGTCTTAGGATACAGAAACTCTGAAACTTGTCCAGATATCATGTAATATAATACGGATGCTGTTGACTTTTATTATGTCTGATAAATGGATTATATGGAACTGTTTTCAAAAAAATGTTTGCTTTTATAACTGCAATCTATGAACTTACAATTAACTATATAATTCGCCACATTTTCGGGAATATAGCGAATTCGATTATTTTCAAATTAAACCATATTAAACCATTGGCTTCTATTTTCTTTGATTATAATTTATCGTATTCAATTGTCGTAAAAACCAAGCCTGGTTTGGTTAATTTAATAGCAAATCTTTCTTAATAAACTTAAGACTCCTTAGTGTGTATTGTTGTATGAATTATGATTTCATTTCGATTATCCAGTATAGGTTATCTTGGGTATTCAATTTTGAAGTGACTTTGATTATTAAATACATTAAGTAAAAACATTTACTTCTGAAATTAACAATACAATGCATCCTCATTCTATATTAGCAATGCTTAAGCAGTACTGATAGTTTTGTCAGTCTATTTAAGGAGAAATCATTTATATGTATGTTATTGTTACACATTGAGAAAACCAGCGGATACGATTGCTAATGCTGTAGAATGGAATGCCCACGAAGTGAGCAGGACAGGACAATTGCAAGTGAAACACAGAAAACTTTTAGTCAGCTACGTTTTTCTGCTAGAAATAGGGGCAAATGTAAAGGACTTGTACGAAATATTTGTAAACTGAGAGAACATAGCATAATAGATATTCCAGAATTTAGATATTAACGTAGCATGGTTCAACCACATGAATTACTAAATCAGTTAGTGCAAAATGCTTCTTGTGACGAAGTGCAGTAGAAGTTTTGATAATATCTAGCATAATTACATATGAATCAAAGTATATATTTTATATTCATATTTAGTTATTTTCATTAGATATACCATAACATGATATATAATGAATTTTTTACTGTTAGTACGATAAACTAAGAAAATAAAACGTCAAGAGTAATAACAACAAGAGTCGGTAAAATAGGCATTTATCTTTTATATCAGATAGGGAAGAATAATAGTTTTATTGATTGCTTGGTTCTCATATCCCATTATATCAAAAGTTGTTTCACATTTCAAGTTTTCCTATTTTAGGTTAGGTTAGGTTGATAGGACTGTGCTAATACAACCATAAACACTTCCACTCTAAGACATTAATTGCTCATTGTTATGCCCTCAAACTTGCTTGGGGTTAACATTAATCATTGTAATTTCAATATATTAACTATTCTTGTTAAAACAACTGGTCCTCTTGATAGAGCTAAGCTTATCTAAGCGAGAAACGATCTCTATAGAAAATACTAAGATATAGGCATTAAATGATATTAAAGCCATTTAAATTACGTCTTAATATTAACTTTAACTTTAAATTACTTTTGAGACTTAAGTTACGCCTGTAAAATTGGCCCTTAATGGACCGAAAACTGGTATATAGAACTGGTGTATAAGTAGTAGGAATAATTTAGTTTTAATTGATAATATTAGGTTGTTTAGAAAGCAGTTTTTTTTTTTTTTTTGTGGAAATGAAAGACAGTTTTCGTATAATAAACAAATACTTTATTAAATTATATATTGGCCGTTCTAGTCCAATACCTTTTGTCATCTTTCTGGCATTCTTATCTAAAATTATTATCTTCATGTATGCCATTTACTCAAGATATATATTTGACGAATATTAGATTATTAAATCACTCATTGATTTTATTTATTAATTATATTTTGATTATTTTTCAAGATATAACTATCTTGGTTGCTTGGCGGGGCACATTGGTGGGGAAATATGTACAAGCATAAAAAATCTATTAAAATATTTAGAGAAGTACAGAGTACAGTATAAATATGCGGAAGTTATAAATATCAATAACAGATTAACAGATTATTATTATTTATTAAGCCCTAATTTGATTATTTACATAAATATATTTCAAAAATTTAAAAAAAAAAGTCTAAATTAACCCTTGAGTTGCGTTGAGCTTAATTTCCCTATAACCTTTGTTTGTCCATCTACGGTTTTTCTAAAATTATTAGAAATATTTATCAAACATACAAATAGTTTAATTAAACAATTTTGTATTATATTTTCCCGCGCACAGAACTCCTCCTTCTCAAAGTTTAATTCTGCCATTCATTGTTTTGCGATTTTGGTGCTACACGTGCAGCGCATAATGAATTATTAATTAAAAAATTTAATAACATCATTAAATAATTTTGTATATTTTAATTGAAATCTTTTTGCAGTTCACGTTATTGGATTTACGTGTATTTGCAGTACCAACGGTAGTGCCAACAACTTCCCAGCCAACTTCACAAATCGTGAATTTTGACACACAACGCAAAGCCAGGGCCAATACAGATACAGAGGACTTACCTGATTTCGACTTCGACGAAATTAATAAAAATTCTAAGGACAAGGATCAGTTCACAGGTTCAGGTATGAAATTAATATTTTAATAGAGTGATAATAACAAATATTTATTTTAAGATAATAGCCTTGATACATCTCCACCACACACAGATGATGAACTGTCAAGCAGTCAGAATACATTAGATAACACTAATGAAATTTTTGGACATAACGATGTTTTCGAGTCATCGACTGTGAGCAATAATAACCCACTGCATCGTGTCAAACAAAGCATTGGTAGATCTTTGGAACCAGTTAAACATCTTATTAATACCGTACGCGATGGTGCCTTTAATCTTACTCACCCACAAAGTCCCCACCATCATGTTTTGCGTGGGCACGCTGCACGCAGACGTGAGCACAGTGAACATACAGAGCATGTATCTTCAAATGATGCTTCGGCTATTGAAACGGAAGAGGAGCGTGAATCGGTGAATGAAAGTAACGAATTTCGATTTTTGGAAGTATTGGGCACCGTTGGTGGCATGATTTGGCAATTTTTAATGAATATACAAAGAGCTTTTGCTGCTAGCAGTGGCGGTGCTAGTTCTGGGTCTTCAGGAGGGAATTAAGTGAGCAGAATATATTGCATAAAACGTGATTTTTACCGAGATTAGTTTTCTTTGAAAACAGTTGGTATTCTATGTAGATTTGTTATGTGTAGTATCTTAGATAAATTAAAATTTCAATGATGTTTATATACCTTTAAGATCATATTATATAGTTTTTCATAACAAACAGGCAAAAGGTACTTTACTTTAAATTTGATCAATGTATTAAATACTTCGAAATAAAACTTAATCTTTCTAAAATAATAATTTGATGCATTTGATAATATATGGATTATAATGTAAAGGATGGATAAGTATATGTTTGAGAGATAAAATATATTTGCGTTGCTTTATTCATAATCTGAAATAGTATCGCTAGGGAGCCGGATTTCTTAACACCAACTAGTTCAACCTACTTACTATATATTCTATCTAATAAAATATGAAAAGATTCATTCAAAAATCAGTATAAAAAAGCACATTATGATTTAAGTTTTTAGAATTCAAATACAGGTATAGTTTATATAAGTTTGTGAGGGATAGTAATAAACAACACATTTAATTAGCTTGGACTATTGTGCGCTTAAGACAAGAAATTTCAAGGTTTCAAAAATGTCATTCTGCTTATCGGATTATCCTTTTTGTAAAGGCTACTTAAAATTTGTAGCCATATGTAGCTAATTATCAAAGGTTACGTCTAAACAATAGGAGATGTTACATTAATCTAGCTCGCTCCAAGCCACGCATAGACATTGTTTCTTAACAATAGCAGATAAAATTACACCTTCATATAGATCGTATAGTTGAGACTATTGCAAATTTAATAGAGTCCTACAAGCTCTATTTCTAAGAAAGAGAAATCAAGCATTTAAAAAGATTTTTCAAAGTGTATTTTTAAACCAGAATTAAGTGAGACTTAAACCCAAGCTTTGTGTGCCGTAGTTCTAATGTACATTATCGTATCACTGGCAATAATAGAAAATACCAAAATAAAGTTAATATATTCTAATTTAATAATAAAATATAATAAGGATCCGATTTCGATTTGACGATGGATCTTGGCTTAACTTGATTCTTGAAATATTGAACTCAAAAATTGCAAATATTTACAAGGAAACCAGCAATAACAATAGAAAGTGATGGATGTTATCACTGTAATCAATGTAAAATCTTATTTTATTTAATACCACTAGATTTCGTGATTACTTTCTGTTTGACTAATTAATTTGAAAATTCACAACTTTAATGCACGATATCTCAAGAATCTACCTATATTAATCTAGATCGTTGTCAAATCACGGTTTTCCGAAATTCGTTATTATATCATCATAAAGTATTTAAAAATTTGTTTCTGTCAACTAACAAGAAGATAGTTTATTTTTGTTTTAATTTTTGAGTCGTTATTTCGAAATTGTTTAAATGCGTTTATTTTTGTTTTTTAAAATATACTAACTTTTATTTCGAAATTTTTTTTTGTGTATCTCTACACGTGTTTCGGCAAATTCGCTTTTGCCTTCATCAGGAGAATTCCTAATATTAGGAATTCTTCATATCCTGATGAAGGCAAAAGCGAATTTGCCGAAACACGTGTAGAGATACACAAAAAAAAAAAATTTCGAAATAAAAGTTAGTATATTTTAAAAAAACAAAAATAACCGCATTTAATAAGATAGTGTTTAAGATATATAATAATACATTAATATATAATAAGAGATAATAGCAAATAACATATGGACATTGAATATGGTCCTGGGCTTGAAAAAATTGTTTTGCTTAGCACTTAACGTTAAGAATTATTTGTTATCAAACCAATATAACTATTATATATGATGATCAAATTTTTATATACAAGGGCGTTTTGATAAGTCTGTGACTTTTTGAATTTCCCACGCAGTTACTCCAAATGCAACAGTGCTGCCGTCAGCTGTAATCTACCAGTGGGCAACTTTTTAATTTTGAGCAAGCTACGTCCACTGGTACGTGAGCATGCCCACTGGTAGATTACAGCTAACGGCAGCACTGTTGCATTTGGAGTAACTGCGCGGGAAATTCAAAAAGTCACTGATTTATCAAACCACCCTCGTAATTTTACTTTTTGTCAGGACGATAAAAGTATCAAAATGTATTCTTTCTTTTTATAAAATCTTTTTTTAATGAATGAACTTTTGCACATGATTCCTTGTATAAACGAATTAATGAACATTTAATTATATACCAAGATATAAAATTTGATAGTAAATATTTCATTTCTACAGTTTTATTTTATATATAATAATTAATATCTAAATATTTTTTAAAAAATTAATTGTGATGAATGAACTTCTGCGCATAAACATTTGTATAAACGAACAATTGAACGTTGGATAATTTATATTCCAGCAATTAGTATTTAATAATAATTATATGAATACCTACAATTATTTGTACTTATATTTAATATATATCCATATGTCCCACTTTGCGATGATAATAAATTTCGTACGATACTGTAGTGTCCTCATTAATCATATTACAAAATGTATGCAAACGTTTTAAATAAATAAATAATATGCCGTTATGCAAAAGTAAATATAAAAATTGCCATTAATTTATTTTTTTCAAACTTAAGAGTTGGAGTTTTTTTCTTTGCTAATATAGGCAAATGTTAATACTTTGTTTTCCTTGTAAAATTTAAAAAAATTTTGACAGTTCAACTATTGTGAATACTAACAGAAATTTCCTTTAAGAAGCAAAATATGGGAATTTATTTTCCAAATGACATATGTTTGCCGCCTGCTATCAACAGTTTGTAGCATTTTGTAAATATTTCTGGTTTTCGTGTACAAGCAAATTTATTTAAAGCAAACGAGATTGTGAAAATAAATTAGAAAGCATTTGACACTTAAAAAGTACAAAATAATTGCATATGCTAAGTTTTTTTAGACGTTTCTCTAAACTTATTGTTGCTGCGGAAATGTCTTCCAATAAAAGTAAAGCCTTGGAAAAACTGCGTGAATTTGGTTACGCTTTCAACAAAAGTATGTAGTTATTAATTTTGTTAATTATAATTATACAATCACTAAAAAATAATTTATTCATTAGGTGGGCAGTTGCGTAAGATAGACCCAGAGACCGGTGAAGCCGGCATGGAAGGTTTTGTGTTTAACGTATACAAAGAACAGGAAAAAAATCAGGCACGTTACGAGCAGTTGGCAGAGGTAAACATGATTTCATATTCAACTTAAAAGGCTTCTGCATTTTTAATAATTTTCGTTCTTGACTTTGTAGCAAATCCCAGATATTGTTTATGATTTACTGGAGCAAAATGGTATGACGCGCATCTACATACCTGATAATTTACCACCGGAGAGACAAACATGTATATTTACTCAACCGAAAAACTTGCGTAGATCTCAAAAGCTTATTGTGCTAATACATGGCAGCGGCTATGTTCGTGCTGGACAGTGGGCCAGAAGGTATTTTTTTTATTTATTTACTTAAATATATTTATATTTATTGTAATGGTTTTTCTCTTTAAATTAGTTTGATTATAAACAATTCCATCGATCACGGTACACAAATTCCTTATATCAAGCAGGCGAAATCTCTAGGTTATGATATATTGATAACTAACACAAATGATAATTATCGTATAATTGATGGTGTAAAAAAATCTGTATCTGGTCTTAGTACACCATCAGATCATGCTGCTTATGTCTGGGAAAATTTTGTTATATCATCAAATCCAGAAAGCGTAGCGATAGTAGCTCATAGTGCTGGTGGTGGCGTAACTATTGAACTGGTAATTGATATTTAATATAAAAATATTTCGATTAATATCTTATATTTATTTTCTACTAACAGGCAAGGCGTTTTCCGGATTTCTTTAAGCAAAAAGTTTTTGGAGTTGCGTTTACAGATTCAGCACATTTTGGTATGCCAAGTGAATTGCAGCAACTATTATCAGACAAAGCATGCAATTGGGTATCTAGCAATCAGCCTTTGGATAAGGTTTTAACAACTTTTAAAAATGACTTACCGTGTCGTTCTGCAGGTTGAAAAGCTTTGTTTAATATACATATACTATAATTCTAATTGATATATATATATAATAAAATCGTTATATAAAATATATATTTTTCTAGGTCATGGCCAACATGAGTGGACCTCTTACACTGCAATCGATGCGGTATTTAAATATTTAGAAGAAAAGTTTGAACAATTTACTATTGATAAAAAGCAGTAGATTTACAAAATATGGACAAAATCTGTAAAATGCAGTAATTATCTTAATATATATTATACTTAATAAGTCAATGGTTTGATACTAAAACGCCAACTTTGGCATTCGTTAATAATATTCATTTTTTGCGCTACAAATTCAGAATACAAACGCCATTTGTCAGCATAAATCAAGTAAAATTTAACATATAATTTCGTTTTTACACTATAAAAATATATCTTTTTAGTTATGAACACTACCAAGTGGTCAAATATGTCAATAACATCGACATCAATACATTTAATTTGATTTGATATTTTACACATACAATATATTGAAACTTAATCTTATTGATGTGGATAACACATTTAGATAAAAAAGCCACTGAGTAAAGTGGGCCTTACTTATATTTGTATAATAAAAACTGACACTCTGCAAACACACACACTGTGTTCACATAGAACTCAAGGATATGCTGTACAATAAAAAATAACCATAAAAAACTGATAACGGTAAGCGTTAAAAATCACTACTTTTGTTTTTCTTTCTTCTTCTTCTTAATATTAAGGGGGTTGTTGGGTTGTTGTCTGTGTCCTAAAGTACTGGTCAATATGTGAAGTCACCACTTGTTTCGAGTCGATTTTGAATGCCTCATATCACACGTCATAAGCATAAGTGTCATAAAAAATAACACATACTTAACATTAGATAGGAAGGAAAAGTGCCATCTTATACACTTAGCTTGTGGTATAAATGTCCCTAGGGAGTTTGATATTGCCTTATGGGTTCAAAAGTTATTGACTAGTCTTATTAAAGTTAAAGCTGTTGATGATATGATGTCATTAAACAGTCATAATAATATTTTTTTTTAGATTCGTAAATTATGCTATTTAGTTTTTAGTTCAATTTGTTATTAAAATATTATTAAGTATTTATTTATTATACGAGTGCATGTTAAAAGTTTAAAATTAGTTATATATATGTATACCATTTATAGCTTTATTTGTTCCGTTGCATGTATTGAAAGAATTGAAAGTATATATATATTAATAACATATAAGTTATCAGTGATTAGATTGTAATAGTCAAACCTTAGTAGGATCGTATGGTAACTATTACAGTTATTGGTATAAGGTTGTTTAACATAAGTTAGGTCTGTAGATGTAAACATTTTATATTCATTTGTAAAATACCTAACTAAAGCTAATAGAAGTAATAACCGCATTTGAAGTATTGAATGAATATATTAGGAATTTCAGACTATTTTAAAGGCTTAGCCTTAAAACCTAACAAGGATTTCGAATTTTTCCTTAAACTTTATTAGCCTTAAAAGTTTAGTAGACACAATGTGAGAACAGTTACAGACAAACTCTAATTTGTATATTGATAAATTAATATCATATCTAATTATTTATGTTAACTGCACAATAATTGTGTTGGTATAATTGGCGCGATCGGCCTTTGGTCTTCTGTGATAAGTGACTCCCGAAACCATTATAATTATATGTAGTTCGTACGACACAAAAGGCACCATAAAGGCACCGCCAGTCTGTAAAATTGTCTGTAAAAATGGTTTTCGGTTCCACCGTTTATGTTTTTTTTAAAAATATGGGTACCAGTAAAACATATTTTTCTGGCTCGTAGTACGTTTGAGGTTGAAAAACGTTGATATAATGTACCGATTATGTGTAGGTTTTTTGTTTTTTTTTCACAAATATTTTTCACTTAATTTGGATTTAGTTTAGGTTGATAGGGTTGAATAGTACAATATAGTACATCTAGATACTAAGAATCGTGTATATTCTTAGGGCCGTGTTATGCAGAGTGTTGCGGGCACGGTATGAGAACAATTGTTGTTGTTTTCAATACAAATTTTAAAATGGCGAATGAGAGAAAAAACAATATGGCCGTTCAAACTCTGGCATGAGAGCCGCCGTATTTGTGACCCGGCACCACGGTTGCCACTTATGGTACTTTAGTACCAAAATTGGTACTTTTTTTTTTCGTTTGGTACTCATGTTCAAAAAATGGTACATTTTTGACGACCCAACATTATAGTGGATATTTCCAATAAAATTTTTTTAATAAATGCAACTGCACTATTTTATATTTTGTTCATTTATAACACTATGAAAAACACAGAACGAAAAAATAAAAAGGTTCAGAAAAGTTTTGGACCTTTTTTTACAGAAATGGTACCTTTTTAAACCAATTTTGGTACAGGAAAAAATTTTCAAGTGGCAACCGTGCCCGGCACTAAGGCAAAACAGTGTTGTTTAGTAATAAATTTTAAAATTTGCGCCTTTTAGGAACAAATTACTACAATTCTAATACGTTTTGGAGAAAAAATGGCAGTAAGCAACACAGCATTTTTTTTATAAATTGCTAATAATATAATTATTACACTTCCCGAGAAGAAAGTAGTAATAAAAATACAAAATTGGCAATACTGATGTGACACTCTTCACAACATGCATTTTCGGTATAGCCCGAAAGAGCGTAATTTGCCGTGCCTGAGACGCTCTGCATAACATGGCCCTTAGTATTATACATGAATAGTGAAATATAAACATCTGATATATATGTTTATATATAATAGATATATATCTGATTATATATCTATTTTATATATAGATGATTCGATTACACCTAGTATATTATTATTAAAATATTTTTGTTTGTTTTCCATATTATAGACTTATTGTGTAAAAAATCTACAAATTTAAATTGGTTTAGTTATTTTTGAAGTTTTGCAATTAATATATTTATTTGTGACAAATAACTGTTTAGCAGTTATATCTTTATCCAGATTTCAATTGGAATAATATAGTTCTTGCTGCACTGTGGACACGTTTTAAAGATACTAAACGGAGACATGTTAGGATCTTTGTTGCTTTAGTATAAATTTTTGTTAGCCCGCGTTTGTACTCCATCTCATTGATATTAACTTAATTACAATGCGTCGAGAGGGAAGATCACTGTTTCGAAGACAGGGATCTTCACTTGCAGCGGAAAGGGGGCGCTCTACTGACTATGTTACCATTTTAATTTTCATTTCTGTGGTAAGCAAGTAGAGTTTAGGCGTAGCTAGGTCTATATATACCGCCTCACTTACCACTCTCAACAAGAATTATACCAGCAGACGTGTGTTTCGGCGGAATTTAATATACTTAGTTAAAAGCAAGTATGACATGTTATCATGGGATTTTTTATTTGTTAGAAATACTGGGCCGATATTTTAACTTTTGAACTAATGTATGGTCATAGTAAATCCGCACGGATGTGCTTGAGATTGTTTCTATTCAAAGCAATAAACTTCTATATGTACAGCTATTTTATTATATTTTAATATTTTTCTCTAGACTGATCTAAATGTAAGATCTTTGGAGAGCTCTTTATTTTAAATTTGAAACAAATATAAGACGGCATAGGGAATAAATATAATTTTTAATTTATATATAACAATAGATTTGTATTCAATATTATAAGGTTTTTTTATAAAATTTGGTTCTGGTATAAATCTACATTATTTTATTTCATTTATAGCGCAAACAATGTTGATTTCAAGTACTTGTAGTTTATTAAAGTAAATCAATGATTTAACATATCCTCAAAAAAAGAGAGTACAATGAATTTATTCTAGAGTTCTTTGGTCAGTTTACATCATTATTTCTGGATATTGAATTTTTTTTCTCAATGAATTGATTTTGCCACGAATTATATGTCATGTTGCAGCACTTGTTGAAACCGTATATCGTCCAAATCAAAATCATATAATTTAACTAAATCAGAGTATAGCGCTCAGATTAAGAATGCAAGATCATCTTAAATCTGATTTTCTTTTCCAATTTAAAGTTTTGTTAGAATTATTTGTTATTGCAGTACTTTCGCCTATACTACAGAATACTTTGAGATCAAGAAGTGAACTTGCAGTTTATTTCCAGATTAGTTTGTCTGTTATTGTTTTCCTTTGAATTTCACTATTTCGTGGTTCTGAAAAGAAATAGCCTTAAAGTTTTTACTGACGCCTAAATTTTCTCATCGCTAATAATGCGGACCAAATATGCTATACTAAAACATTCTTGGTTAGTAAATTAAAGAAATTTGTGGGTTAATGTTAGCACTTAGTTTTGATTGGATGAAAAAAATGTCTTAAATCCATTTTTTTGTGAGTGGCTCTAAAGCGTTCTAGAGGCTGTAAATGTGGAAAACTTTATATTTATATTTGTATTTGTGTCTATTAATAGTTTATAAAATTATATATTTGTTTATATATTTATTTATATATACATTATGCTCTAATATATCTCGTTTTCTCGCTGCTGTATTGTTATTTTTTTTTTAACATCATGGAAGTGAAATTTGAGACTGACAGTAAAATTTTTTCCGATTTACTGATGGGTAAATTCAGTTAAAATTTTGTGATTAGACTTTATAGTTGATCAAGGACTTCTGCAGATCTGTAGAAAAGGTATTCATTATTATGGGACTAGTATGCCATGTTTAACTTTAACACCCTTCTGTATAGTAATGCATTTGAGTTTTTTAAGAATTATTAGTCATAATGAATAATTATTTTATGATTGTTTCCAATTTTTAATGGTTTTATGATTCATTTTATAAATAATATTATTTTTGTTATTAATAATATAAGTGAAAAAATACCAAACGGCAGTCGATTCGATAAACTGTTCTGTCTAAACTATCAAGTCCTAAAAATACACTTGCCTGTGATAGTCTGGCAAGTTTCTAATACTGCTCTTCTTAGAAGTTATAAAAACTTTTTCATGTGACTATTAAAAACGGATCCTTTGAAATTCTGATTATCCTGTGAATGTTAATTACTGAAATAAATTTGTCACAGCATTTCGCTGACAGTTTGACATTTGCTTCTTTCCAGGATTTACGTGTTCGTTCCTTTACCAAATAGTTAAGAAGTTACCTAAGGCTTTCCATAAGAATATTTTGTCTGCAATATGTTACGTAATCACCTTTAAAATATTTTTTAAAAAAGAAATCATTGTAAATGTTAAAGGAATGTCATTCTGTTGACACTTTTTATTTTGATTTGACGCTAGGGCATTTCAACGTGACAAATATTTAAATGTTTTCTTGGCACATTTCAGAAACGTTAACGCACTTTTCTTTTTAACTAAGAAAAAACAGTGTTTATTCCGTATATGAAAGAAATATCCTGTTAAAGGACAAAGAAACACTTTTAGCAAGAAATTGTGTATAGCAAAAAAAAAAACAAAAAAAAACCACAGTAAACTCAGTTTTTAATTTTTCTACTCTTATTTTAGTAAGGCACCTCCCATTTTCTGTTGCATCTTCCCGCTGACACCTGAAATCCCTCTTTTCAATATTCTATATTAATGCTGTCATAGTCACAGTCATGGCTTCTGCTCCACCTTAGCCCACCTCATACAGAACAGTTACTCACGAAATGTTTATGGTCCTACACTCTGAACTTCAATGCGGGTTCGTGTACATTTCGGTGCTCAATAATGAT